TCGTATGGAGATTTGGTCAAGAGGATGGCACATTCCCTGGGACTGTCGATAGTCCAACCCCAATCTTCGGTATCGGACGCTGTCTTCGATGTCGTGCAGATTGATACCTCCATTTCGATCACCCTCCCAATGTCGACCGTCCTCCTACAGCCGGCAAATGCCTACAAGAGACAGAAGCTGAATTCCTCCATATCCACCCCAAGCCCAACTCCATGGTAGTGTTGTCTGCCTCAAAGAGTAAACGTACCCTTGGTACTCCTTCCGCTAAGGAGAGCAAGAAGTTGGATTCCATTGGTCGTCGTTTCTACTCAGCTGGAGCTCTCGGAATTAAGACATCTAATTATATTGCTTTTATGGGCCGTTATCAGTACTTGCTCTGGGAGCGCTTTACCGACCTTTTGACCTTGGTGCCTGAGGACAAATGTCAGGAGGCCAGGAAGCTGCAAAAGGAAGGCTTGCTGCTCTCTAAACAAATAATCAATTCTTCCAAACATACTTTGGATACGTTATCCAAAACAATGTTGGCTGCAGTTGCCCTCCATAGGCATTCCTGGCTTAGAACCACCGCGCTCCCTGCTGACACCAGAGCGTACATAGAGGAATTACCTTTCGATGGCCAAGATCTCTTTCATGTGTCCACTGTTTAGATGCTCCAGGACATGGATAAGAGCATTAAGGCTTCGCGGTCGCTGGGGGTCTCTGCCCCCTCTAAGCCCTTTCGTCCTCTCGTTACTGCTCCAGGCGTCAATACGCTAAACCGTCACCAAATGTGGGCTACAGACCACATTGGTCTCCGTCTGCAAACAGGCAGCAGGACCAGACCAGGCAAAGATACGGCTCTGGACAGCAACTTGTCAGACCTAAACAAGGCAAGCAGGGCCTTTGACTTCCGCCTGTCTACCTCTTCTGTCCCTACCCGCCTCCATCCCTATTTGCAGGCCTGGGCCACCATTACATCAGACCAATGGGTCCTTTCCATCTTAGCCAAGGGCTATTCCATCGAATTCATGTAACTCCCACCTCTTCCTATAGTCGTCACCACTCCCCCGTCGTCTTTCCTTCTCAAAGAAGTCGCCACACTTCTATCGAAAGGTGCTATAGAACCTGTGCCTCTAGAACACCAGGGACTCGGTTTTTATTCCCAGTACTTAGACCTTTGCGGCCTCAACACCTATATACAGTACCGGAAATTCAAGATGACATCCCTACCAGTCATTTTGCCTCTCCTGTCCTAAGGATGCTGGATGGCCACCCTCAACCTTGAGAATGCCTATTTCCATTTAACTATCCACTCCTCCCATTGAAAATACCTCCGGTTTGCGATAGGAGGCAACCACTACCAATACAGGAGTCTACCATTTGGCCTCAGCACGGCCCCGCGGGTCTTCAAGAAGACGATGGTGGTTGTTGTGGCACATCTCCACCTCTGTGGCCTGACAGTGTTCCCGTATCTAGACAACTGGCTTCTGGTTGCACCTTCCAGGGACCTTCTTGTTCACCATATATCCCAGGCCCTCAATGTCCTTCATTGCCTCGGTCTCCGGGTCAACCACAAAAAGTCACAGCTGATTCTTTCTCAAAGAGGGCAGTTCATAGGGGCAATACTCGACTCCAGAGAAGGCAGAGCTTTCCTGCCCCAGGACAGGGCCCTAACCCTGATCGCTCTTGCAGAACAAGTTCGAATTCAGGACACATCGTCTAGTTTCCAGATTCAATGCCTTCTGGGCCTGATGGCAGCTACAACTGCTGTCCTTCACTTTGCAAGGCTGCGAATGCGTCCACTCCAGCTTTGGTTCATACAGCACTTCAAGCCCCTACGAATGTCCCAGTCGGTTCGTCTCTCTCCGCCACAGGAGACACACGACTCCCTTCTCTGGTGGACATGGTCAGACAACCTGACACAGGGTGTCCCTTTTCATCCCCTCATGCCTGGCCTCACCCTCACGACCGACGCCTTGCTGTGGGGCTGGGGAGCCCACCTCGATGGCCTCTCTGTAGGTCACAAGTGGGATGCCCTAGCCTCAAGAAAACACATACATTTTCTGAAACTTTTGGCAATCAAACTGGCCATCCAATGTTTCCAGCCTCTTCTGGAAAGAGAGCCAGTTTGGTGCAGTGGTGAAGTGCGCGGACTCTAATCTGGGAGAACCGGGTTTGATTCCCCACTCCTCCACTTGCACCTGCTGATGTGACCTTGGGTCAGTCACAAGCTCTGGCACAGCTGTCCTTGAAAAAGAGCAGTTTGTGTCACTCTCAGCCCCACCCACCTCACAGGTTGTCTGTTGTGGGGAGGGGAAGGGAAAGGAGTTTGTAAGCCGCTCTGAGACTCCAAGTGAAGGGCGGGGTATAAATCCAGTCTCTTCTTCTCTTCTTCTTCTTCTTCTTCTTCTCTCAGGAAAATGTGTGACTGTATTGACCAACAATACTATGGCCCTCAGTTACATCAACAGACAGGGTGGCATGGTCTCCCGCAGTCTCTGCCTCCTGGCTCTAGACCTTTGGGCCTGGTGCATACAGCTATACATCTATCCCATTGCCTCACTCATCGCTGGCAAGGCCAATGTGCAGGGGTCTCTCTCAGCGTCACGACTGGGAGCTGAACTGGACCTACCTACGTCCTGTATTTCAAAAGTGGGGTACGCCTCACCTCGATGTCTTCGCCACCAGGTGCAATTCAAAGTGGAACCTGTTTTGCTGTAGGGGAGCACAAGATCCCAAGGCCTTGGGAGACGGGCTCCTGTACCCATGGGACAACAACTTCCTATACATGTTCTCCCCTCTGCCGCTGCTGCTGAGGATGGTCCAAAGACTCATGAGGGTCCACACGAGATGCATCCTGATCACCCCCTGGTGGCCGAGGCAACCTTGGTTCGCCAACCTCCTCTCGCTGGCCAAGGTTCGGCATCCTCTCCCACAGGTGCCAGATCTGCTCCTCTTCTGTTCCACGAGGTCCACAAGCTCAAGCTAACAGCCTATCTTGTGGACACTTAACATTCTCGGATAGCATCACCACTGTGCTACTCAATGCCAGGAAGGACTCTATGAGACGTTCCTACAGTGGGAAGTGGTCTTGTTTCTTGGCCTCCTTACAGCCCTCAGACTTACTCCTGGCTTCTGTCATGCTTGACCAGATCTTAGAATGTCTGCTTTCGCTGGCAGAGAAGGGCCTCTCGCACTCCTCAGTCAGGGTGTATTTGTCAGCTATTTCTGCCTACCACCCGGGCTTTGAAGGTTTTTCCGTCTTTTCTCACCCGGTCTCAAAAAAATTTCTTAAAGGTCTTCTCCACTTATATCCACCAATCCGTTCACCAGTACCCTTGTGGGACTTGCCGCTAGTGCTGCGCCATCTGATGGGACGGCCCTTTAAGCCTATGGCAACTTGTGAACTAAAACATGCAGCATGGAAAACTGCCTTTCTCATTGCCATTACCTCGGCCAGGAGGGTGGCCGGATTTGTGGCTCTTCATCATGGCCCACCCTTCCTTGTCATCCTACCAGACGGTGTGAGACTGGTGCCTGACTTCTCTTTCCTGCCTAAAGCGGTCTCCGAGTTCCATCTCAGCTCAGAGATCTTCTTGCCAAACTTTTTCCTAGCCCGAAAGATGGCCAACAGCGTCTCCTCCATGCACTAGATGTTAAGAAGGCACTACTTTTCTACCTTGACAGGACACGTTCAAGTAGGAGGGACAATCACCTATTTGTCTCCTGCTCCAGTCACTCCGCAGGACAAAGAATCTTGGCACAACGTCTCTCCAAATGGATTGTTGAGACTATTAAGCTGTGCTACCAGTTGGCTAAGCGCCTGTTGCCTTTGCCTGTGCAAGCGCACTCCACAAGATCCATGGCTACCTTCTTGAAGGGTGCTTCCCTGTCGGTGATCTGTGGGGCTGCGACATGGTCTACTCCGCTTTCATCAAGCACTACGCTGTTGATGTTCGTGAACGCCACAGAGTCATCTAGTCCTTTCGTCGGCAGAGCATTGAATTTGCGACAGCTCCCACCTCCAGGTGAGCCACTGCTTTTCAATCTCCCATGGGTGTGATGCACAGAGACCATGAAGAAGATAAGCAGGTTGCTTACCTGTAACTGGTGATCTTCGAGTGGTCATCTGTGCAGTCAGACCACCCGCCCGTCCTTCCCCACTGCTTTCACTTCAGTACTCTTCTCTGGTTATTGACATGACAGCGGTCAGAAGGAACTGGCGGGATGTCCGCGCCCTGCCTCCTTGGGCATGCACAGTGGGGTTCTCGCGCATGCCTGGGAGGGAGGCGTGAAAATCCTTTTGTGAGCTTTGCATACCACCGATTCGGATCAGCGCAGGCGCATAATCCCATGGGTGTGACTGCACAGATGACCACTCGAAGATCACCAGTTACAGGTAAGCAACCTGTTTTTCTCTTGCACTCATAGACTTATGTTTCTCAAGTGGTAGCTTCCCATGCTGCCTGAGAAACAGCTTTTGAAACTGAAAGAGATTTCGACAGCAGTTTGTGATGTGACATGGTGGTGGGAGCTAAGTGTTCAAAGGGAATTTTTTTTACAAGCTCCTTTCATGAACGGTAAGATCAGTATTCTCTTCTCTGACTGGTAGCAGCAGTTCTCCAGGGAGGTCTTCCCCATCACCTCCTGCCTGGTCCTTTTAACTGGCAATGGCCAGCACCGAACCCGGGACCTTCTGCATGCCAGGCAGGTGTCCCCTCCCACTGAGCCACAGACCTTCCCCTGATTCATGAGCCTAAAAGCAGCTCCTTGGATACTGGCCAGAGTGCTGGGGTAGGTGAACCAGCTGATGTGATCCAGCTCAGAAGTGTTTATGTTCTTGTGGAGGATTTGCAGTAAAAGATCAGAGCAGGAACATGAGGCACACATGTATTTAAATAGGTGTTAACACAAATAATTTTTTTAAAGTTAAAAATTTGTTGAATGGAAAAACAAAGCTGTACATCACCTAGATAATTTTACAGATTTGATAAATCGTCATGCTTTGATCTGTCCTGCAGGTTTGTTTTGCAGCGGGAAAAGCACTTCCACTATTTGAAGAGAGGGCTGAGGCAGCTGACAGATGCTTATGAGGTAATTCCTGTAGGCTCTGGGGTATCCCCCCCCCTGCTGTTTTATTCCCATGGTTGTTTTCTCTAAGCAGCATAAGAGTTTCTAATCATAGTTCGGCTGCAGGAAAATATTACGTTTGCTATTTACTTTGCTCGCTCCCCAGCTTTCACAATCTTTAATTTTTCTCAAGAACTTGATATATCAAAGCACTTGGCACTTACTGAAGAGCCATTTTGTGGGTGTTATTGTCAAACTCAGGCCCTCGTTTGCCATGGGTTTTGTATGTTCTATTCTTACTGCCTGTAACCACACCATTTAGATTCTGAATTTGGGACGCTGGGGGGCAGATGGTGAGAGTGTGTGTGTGTGTGTGCGTGTGAAACTGCTTTGCTTAGCTGCTTTGCAAATGTTTTCTTAATGGGCCTCCTGAAGCTGGGAAATATGTGAAATGACCTTGGATGCCTGTCTCTGCTAGCTGGCCTGTTGTAGACAATGTAACTGTAGGTTCGCAGGTGGTGGAGGAGGGCTAACGGAGTGCTCTGTGTTTAGGCGGGCTGAATGAATGGATTGATTGGATGGGTCACGGTGTGTGTGTGTGTTTAAATCATGTATAATACCAGAACTGGCGCCAAAGGAATCAGTTCTGACGCAAGATGGTCTTAGCTTGATACATCCTCATCTATATATATATATAAAAGAAAGTCCCCTCATTGTAAAATCAACGCCCAGGCCAAACCGCTGGACCTAGAGACACCAAATTCGGGGAGAGCGCTCCTACCATGGCATAGGTGCTCGCTAAGAAAGGATTTTTAGAAATTCGACCCCTAAGTGGATCAAAAGGGGGGGAAATGTGCTCCCCCCATTGATTCCTATGCAGCTGCCTCTCTGCACCCCCCACTCTCTGATTGGTCAGCTGCAGAGCTCAGTGTTATGAGGTAAAAAAACCCAACAGTTACAGGGGACTGCAGGGGACTGCAGAGAGCTAATGACAGTTGAGGAAATCAGGAGTGGCCAACAACCACCTGTGAGGTGAAGCAAAGCTGCTGGCCCAGCCTCTCTGATGGCTTCCAACACACTCCCCCCCCACCTCCCACACCTAACAGTCGGTTGTCTGTCAGGTGCAGCAGCAGCTGCAGGGTGCTTAAAGCCACGAGGGCGCCCCCTACCACGAGGGAGCCCGCCCCAGCAGTAACGCCTAAGTGATCCTGCCGGCCCCGCCTCCACAGTGGCTTCTAATACCCCTCCCCCTTCCCCCTCCTACACTGGACAGGCAGCTGCTTGTCAGGTGTAGGAGAGGAGGTGGGATGCTTACAGCCACCGGGGAGGTTTGCTCAGCAGGACTGCCTTAGCACTGCTGCTGGCCCAGCCTCCCCAATGCCTTTAAATACAATCTCCCCCAACATTAGACAGGCCAGTGTCTGTCAGGTGTAGGAGCAGGGCCAGGGTATGAATGTTTATGGGGAGATAGTAAAGGACATTTCTGGGAGCCATTTCGATGCGTGCCTCCGTCATGAACCTGAAGAAATGTCCACCGCATCACCACTCCCTCACACCAACTCCCCCTCTCACCTCTTACTGCCCCCAAGAAAGCTCCTGGCAAACGTTGAGCCAGATACACCAACGCTACAAGGAGTAGGCAACTTAGGAATGCGGCAAAGAGATTTGCACATAGTACCTCTGCAGTGCACTGAGCTGCACAGGCCAAGTACCAGCAAGATCACCCTGAGATTGCTCAGAACAACACAGTCTCCATATGAGCAAAAGAATCCAGGAACACAAGTAGAGAGGCCATCCCTTTCGTGGAAAGTGGCAGGAGTGGACTTAACAGACGACTGCTTCTTAAATGGGCAGTTCTCTGTGGCCTGCTCCAGAGTGAGCTCACCAAGCAGCCTGGTGATCCCAGCACCTGAGGGCAGAACCACCCATGTGTTCTAGAGAGAGGTCCTTCGGTAGAGAGAGAGAAAAGTACGTATGTCTCACTTCATTTCTTACACTACAATCTTCTCCGTTAGAATTCCTACAACAAATGTCACATTTCAGATTTCACATAATCAGTATTATAACTGGATTTACGGCTAGTCTCTCAATAAACAAATCACGGCCAGGAGAGTGTTGTTGAGAGTACGTTTGTTCAGGAGTCTGACAGTTATAAACAAGAGGTTTCTCCTGGTCTTAATCTCTTCTCCTATCCTCACTTCACTTGTAATCCTGGGATTCAAAGCTCCCTTGATCTGTTACCACTCTCCATTGATTTATCCATGAAGTTATAAACAGAAAGATGTTAAAGGTAATTTAACATCTGAACAGAAATCCCCGCCATAGCCTTGCACCCTTTCACCTTCTAGACCCGCTGTGTACTTTCCAGTAATTCTGTTCTGATTCGCCCCTTGCACAGAGTGGTCTTTCCCCTCCTCCTGCCGTGGTATAATGCACACAGAATTGCCATGGCGTGGCTCATTCTCATGATGGCTCTGAATGACGGCTGCTTTCTCCCTCTGCAGTGTCTGGATGCCAGCCGGCCGTGGCTATGCTATTGGATCCTGCACGGTTTGGAACTCCTGGAGGAACCCATCCCGGACTCTGTAGCTTCAGAGTAAGTTTTTTTTCTTTTTGACCATTTTGGCCTGTCTTGCAACACTTCTTCCAACCATGACAAAATGTGGGATTGGTAATCCCCATCTTCTTTGACCTTCAATCTTTCCCAGCATCAGGGTCTTCTCCAATGAGTGCTCCCTTCTCATTGGGTGGCCAAAGTATTTGAGCTTCAGTTTCATTATCTGGCCTTCCAGGGAACAGTCAGGGTTGATTTCTTTTAGGATTGACTGATTGGATCTTCTTGCAATCCAAGGGACTCTCAAGAGTCTTCTCCAGCACCAAGAAATCAGCCCGAAGATGGAAGAACTAATTCGCAGGGTGTCTGAAAAAGCTTTTTATTAACAGTTTAACAGTTTAACAGTGGGACACTACTAATTCCTTTTTTTTTAACATTCTTTTTTTTCCTGTAACTGAGATGATGAAAGACGATTGACCACCACAATGAAGGCAAAGAAGAAGTTTTTTTTAACTAATATTAACAGACTAACAAACTAATGGAAACATCACTCAACCTTTTCTTTACCCCGCTATATACCCTCCCCCCTTTCTAATATAAAAAGCAATAAAGTTCTCTCCTTTTTAGGAGAGTTTATAAATAAAAAAAAGAGTCTTCTCCAGCACCATAGTTCAAAAGAATCTATTCTTTGATGCTCGGCTTTCCTTATAGTGATGACTACTGGGAATACCATTGCTTTGACCATGCGGACTTTTGTTGGCAGGGTGATGTCTCTACTTTTTATCATGCTGTTTAGGTTCGCCATCGCTTTCCTCCCAAGGAGCAGGCGTCTTTTAATTTCATGGCTGCTGTCACAGTCTGCGGTGATCTGGGATCCCAGGAACGTGGAGTCTGTCACTACTTCCACGACTTCCCCTTCTATTTGCCAAGGAGTGATGGGGCCGGATGCCATGATCTTAGTTTTTTTGATGTTGAGCTTCAAGCCCACTTTTGCACTCTCCTCTTTTACCCTGAGCAAGAGGCTCTTCAGGTCCTCTTCACTTTCTGCCATTAGAGTGGTATCGTCTGCATATCTGAGGTTGTTGATCTTTTCCCCAGCAATCTTAATTCCTGCTTGTGATTCATCCAGGCCAGCATTTCGCATGATGTACTCTGCATATATATTAAATAAGCAAGGTGACAATATACATCCTTGTCGTACTCCTTTTCCTATGCTGAACCAATCAGTTGTTCCATATCTGGTTCTAACTGT